GGAAGAAAATCCAGTACATTTGTGGTAAATAAAGGTCGACAGGATCGATCATGCTTCCAGTGTGGCGAAGTTGGTCATTTCAAGCGAGATTGCAAAAATGGCGCCAATCAAGCGTCGGGTAATGGCGGACAAACGACAAGCAGTAGAGGCTGGTGGAGAGAAACGCGAGGTCGACAAGAAGCCGGAAGAGGAAGCTACGTCAGAGGACGTGGCCACTCACGTGGACAGCGCGGAACGCATGGAACAAGTGCACAGCGGTTCAACCGACAAGGACAGAAGAACGAAGAGCGAAACAGTGCTTCTTGGCTTACAACAGTAGCTCTTGGTAAGGATATGTCAGTTATTGCACAAAATACTGAAATAGGTAATGTAAATAATTGTATTGAAATAAAATGGCTTTTAGATAGTGGTTGTACAGACCACATTATTAATGATGAAAAATTATTTGATAAATGTAAATTACTTAAAGATCCCATTAATGTTTATTTAGGAGATAATAGGGTTGTAAAAGCTACTAAAATTGGAAATGTTTTAAGTTACTTTGATGCTTTTGGTAAAAAGAGTTTAGTAGATATGCAAAATGTTTTCTATGTTAAAGATATGAAATCAAATTTGATAAGTTATAGCAAAATAACAGAAAATAATAAGATTATTTCTCTAGGTAATATTTCAAAAGTTTTTGATAAACTTGGTAATATAACAGCAGTTGCTTTAAAAAATAATGGCTTATATATTATGAAAAGTAAATTAAAATCAGTTGAATTGCATGTAAATGTTGCAAATAAAGATATGAATAATATGAATCAAAAGGAAAAATGGCATCGTTTATTAGGTCATGTAAATTTTAAATATTTGAATATTTTATCTAAAGATCAGCTGTTGAATGGAATTCCTAATGAGTTTGAATCTGAATTTATGAAATGTAAGATTTGTATTGAAAGTAAAATGCATAATATTCCGTTTGTAAACAGTAGAAAAAAAGCTAAAGATATTTTAGAGATTGTACATACTGATGTTTGTGGGCCTTTTCGAACTACTGGGTTTAAAGGTGAAAATTATTTTGTTTCTTTCATTGATGATTATAGTAAGATTTCTAAAGTATATGCTATAAAATCAAAAGCAGAAGTATGTGATTGTTTGAATGAATATACGAATGAAAGTGAAAATTTGACTGGAAAGAAAATAAAGATTTTAAGATGTGATAATGGGAAAGAATATTTGAACAGTAAAGTCTACAGATTTGCAAAAGAAAGGGGTATAGTAATTGATAATTGTCCTACATATGTACATGAATTGAATGGGACTGCAGAACGGTTTAATCGAACTATAATGGATATGTCAAGATGTTTGTTGGCTGAAGCAGATATTCATAAAAAATATTGGCCTGAAATAGTTTGTGCTGCGGTTTATTTGAAAAATCGTACTTTATCTGATACAATTGAAAAGAAAACTCCATATGAAATATTTTTTGGACAGAAACCTGATGTTTCTAATTTGCGTTTGTATGGAAGTAAAGTTTTTGTACGAAGACCAGAACAGAAGAGAATCTCTAAATGGGATAAGAAAGCTGATATGGGAATTTTAATTGGTTATAGTAATGTTGGTTATCGTGTATTATTAAATGGCAGAGTCATTGTTGCTAGACACGTGGATATTGTTGAAGAAAACGTTAAGTGTATAGGTTTAGACTTTAACGAATCAGATAATGATAATAATGAAGAGTGTTACCCTGATAAAATTGATGAAAGCTCTGAAAATGACTCAATAGATGAAACTTTTGAAAGTACAAATGAAAGTATGGATGATAGTGTGAATAAAAATGAACCTGAGTTACCTAGATCTCACAGAGCCAAAAATCCTCCAAAGAAATTTGATGACTACTATGTATATAATAGTAGTATTTTTGTAAATATGTGTAGAACTGATATACCACATACATTTGAGGAGGCGATAAATTCTAATGAAAGTAAGTATTGGAAAACAGCTATGGACAAAGAAATTGATAGTTTAAATAAAAGTAAAACTTGGAAATTGGTTAAAAATGATACAAACAAAAATATTCTGGATGTTAAATGGGTTTATACTAAAAAGTCTGATAATACTTATAAAGCTAGATTGGTTGTACGAGGTTTTCAACAAACTGATGAAATTGATGATATTTATTCACCTGTGGCTAAAATGCAAACATTAAAGATTTTATTGTCATATTGTTGTCAAATGGGCCTAGTAATTGAACAAATGGATGTTGAAACAGCCTTTTTAAATGGTAGAGTAATTTCTGAAGTTTATATTAAACAACCTAAGGGTTATGAAGATGGAACAAGTAAAGTTTGTAAATTAGTTAAAGCTTTATATGGTTTAAAAGAAAGTCCAAGGCATGGTATGAGTGCCTAGATACATTTTTGATAAATTTAGGTTTTGAAAGAAGTAATATTGATCCTTGTTTGTACGTTTATAAAATTGGAAATGATATTATTTACTTATTAATTTATGTCGATGATTTATTGATTTGTGGTAGAAATTTAAATGAAATTAAAAGGATTAAAATTTTATTATCAGAAAAATTTAAAATGAAAGATATTGGTGAAATTAAAGAATATCTTGGTATTACTGTTGATTATGATTCTAGTAAACATGAAATGAGATTGGATCAAAATAAATATATTGAATTATTAAGGAAAAAATATAATTTAGAAAAAGGTAAACTGTATAATACACCTATGGAAGTAAATTTAAAAATTGATAAATCTGATCATTGTGAAAGAAATATTAAATATAAAAATTTAATTGGTGCACTATTATACATAAGTTCGGCAACAAGGCCTGATATAAGTTTCAGCGTAAATTATCTGAGTAGATTTCAAAATTGCTATAATGAAACGCACTTTAAATATGCTGTACGAATTTTGAAATATTTATGCTTAACTAAAGATTTAAAATTGTTTTATAACAGAAATGAAAAAGTAAGTATTATTGATTGTTATGTGGATGCCGATTGGGCAGGTGATCATTTAGATAGAAAGTCTACAACTGGTTTTGTAATAAGATTGTTTGGTAATGTAATTTATTGGAAATCTAGAAAACAAAAAAGCGTTACAAAAGCTTCAACTTTTGCAGAGTATGTAGCATTGTCAGAAGCAGTAAGTGAATTGATATTTGTAAAAGAATTGTTGAAAATATTTGATATTGAAATAATAAAGCCAATTGATGTTTATGAAGATAACACTGGTACAATTAGTATAGCTAATTATGGCAATTTTACAAAAAATTCTAAGCATGTTGAAATTCATTATCATTATGTAAATGATTATGTTAAAGCAAATGTTATAAATGTGGTTAAAGTAGATTCTGATGATAATATTGCAGATATTTTTACGAAGTCCTTGGGCCAAGATAAATTTGAAAAATTTCGAAGTATGTTAAATTTGAATTAATGTAAATACAATGTAAATGTAAGGAGGCGTGTTGAGAATGTAATACATTTATATTGTATACACAGATATATTGGTGTAAGAGTAAGCGGAACGCACCCATAGTGTCATGGGTTGACATGACAGACAATAATAGTAATGTCAATGAGTATCATGTAGTTGTAGGTGGTAGTAAGAAGTATGGTGGCTTAAGTTAGGTTAGTTAATTAGTATGTATGTTATAGGAAATAAAGCCTTTTATAATAGTAGTAAAGTACGACTATTTATTTTCCAAATCCACACCTTAACAGACAAAACTGCTGACAAGTTAGCGGCGATATTGTATCCTCTTATTAAGTCATGTCTGCCAGAAAATATGATTCGACTATGGCATCTTATGTTTTCGTGTCCATGGAAAATATTGGAAAAACTGCAAAAGTTACAACTTTAAAAACACACTTTAGAGTGGGTTAATGACATTTTTACAGAGTGAAATTTAAAATGAAAAAAAATTGATTTAGCAACGTTTTGAAGGTTTTCGTTTACTAGCTGAAAATGAATATAAATTCAATAGTCTTATTGCCAAGATAAATGTAAAATTACAAAGAACTGATCAGTTCTTAGCGTCCTCTGATGGGTTAATAAATTATGAAATATACAGGTGTATATTTTTATTATAATTTTTTGAATATTTATACAAAACTAATATGCACCATTTAAACTGTTTACAAAAAAAAAATAAAACAAAAAAAAACAAAACAACAATTTAGCTTCAAAGGTAAATGAACCTCAACGCAAGACGATACAAAAATTAAAAAATGATATGGAATGATCCAATTATTATCCAATCCAAAAATTAGAATTTGTGAAACTTCAAATCAAATAATACGATCATACGATAGCGCAATTTCAACTTACATTGCAGAGGAGTGCCGACGGTGCCGACCGAGAGCGAACTATACCGATTCTCCCGATCGTATATTATATTTTAAGTTCCAGCATCTATATTCTTTGGTTCCAGTACTTGGCCTCGGTGACAACACTGTCGCTGTTCAGATAATTAAATTTCGAGAAAATCAAAATATTAAAATATGATGCACGTGCTGCCATCTATTCAAGAAATTGTTAAACGTTAGTTTATTTGAACACCACTCATTTTAACTGCGGCGTGAACATACCCCCTTAAGGTGAAATAAAACACGCACTTGAGAATTCTTAAAATTTTATTAAAACAGATACAAAAATTTATCCATTTCCACACCACAGTATTCTTTTGAGAAATGCTGTAGGATAAATGGCGCGTTAACTTTTTTTATTATAGTGGGAAGTTTTGCCAGTAGCCTTATTAGACCCACTGATTTGAAAAAGTCCTATAGATCACAAAAAAGTATTCTAAGTTGTTCTAATACATTTACTGTGACAGTTTAAAACATTTTTTTGTGATTCATATAATTTATTAATCCTAATCACCATGAACCTATCGCTCACTATAAACTAACTTATCACTATAAACTACTTATGAATCACTAATCCTATAATTTGTACGATTTATAAATCCTATATGTATACTTATTAATTATTGTTAGTATATTAAATTAACAGATTCATAGCAATTTCGTTATTCTCTTTCTGTTGTGGTAATATAACACTGGTTTTATTTTTTTTCTTTTTTGTGGAAAATAGCCTTCTTTGTGGTACTATGTTTCCCTTAGACACACTTTTCACAACTAAAGTTTTATCATTTTTTAAACTGTCTCTGACAGCTGCCATAGTGGGGGTCATTGATGAGGTAATTGTTTCTAGAGATTCCAATTCTTCAATGGATTCTGTACTTCTAATAAGAGTTGTGAGTTTTTCTATTAATATATCTTGCCTTTTCTTTAGATTGGTCTCTTCTGATGCTACCTGTTTTTTGCTTAGCTCATTGAGAATAGTGGCAACTTCAGGAGCTGCATTGTTTTCGATAATCAAATTATTATCCTCTAAAAGCAAAAAGTAATATAGTTACCTACTTATAACATCTACCACAATTCTTTAAGAGTACAACAAAATGTTTAGCATGCATGATAAAAGCCTTTTATCCAAGCTATTATATAAAAAATGAGACAGTTTTGTGAACCAACTTTTAGAATTATTCAAACTGTAGACAACTACCAAAGTCCCACACCCCAAATCAGTAGAACATCTTACAAACAACTGTTATTACCGATGGGCCCATTTTGTAATGTCAAACAGTACAATTATAAACTGTGAATAGTTCTTATATTATTTTATGTCTTAAATTTTAAAAAACTTAAAAATTGAGTTCCTTACCTTCAGGGTTAAGATTAGTTTCCTGTGACGTGTCTACTCTATTTAATAATTGTGCAACTGCATGTATGTGTTTACACATATTAAATTTGATACTTGAGTCCATACAAGTACAATAAAATTGATGAACACAAATGCCACAATCTTCACATTTCAGTGTGCACATACAACTTTCAACATCCCTATGTATATAATAGACTTCTGTTGAACTCATTGAGGGAACAGTGAAAGTATCATCTGTTCTGATAATTAAGTTTCCATCTATTTTATCAGATTCATTGTGTTTTACTCTGATATTTGAAATAGTTGTACAGAGCTTGCCTTTATGCTCAGAAATGATTTTTTGAAACAATTTATCACGGACCAATCTCATAATTGCTAGTATCGACTTATCTAATCTCTTTACTTTCTTTCCATTAAGGTACTCATATTTTAAAGCTCTGTGAAGTCTCTCCAAGCGCATATTTGTGTTTATTCCGATATGTTTCCTATAGCAACATGCCCAAACTTGTGGATTTTTGGAATATTGTTTAAAATATTGAAAAAACTCTGACATATCAGAATTTTGACTTTGATCATGCAAAAACTTAATGATCATCCTTTCAAAAGCCTTTTCATCTCTTTCTTGAAGAAGAACTCTTAGTTGTTTGTAGACAAGAGCCTGAAATGTTAAATTATTAAATACATCATAATAAACCAAAGTTTAAATACATACTCGAGTTTTTTTTGATATTATTTTTGAATTAATATTCTTTCTCCAAGCTTTATCTACATGCCATGTGCAATATAACCTGAAACAATCAATCAAAAAGCATATTTGACAAAAATGACATTTATCAATATAACTACTTACCGCTTATCTGGTGCTCCCATTGTTTGGAGCCATGCATTGAAATATGCCTCTGCCATATCTGACATAAAAGCTTTACACTTTATAATCCCAGTTTGCTTCATAATTTCAGAAAAAAATAAAACCAAAACTTCATGATCTGAACGATTAGAAATTAGAAACCCACAAGGAAAGCCTTCTCGAATTTCATCAACCACCATAATTGTGTGAAGTTCAAAATCATAGCTATTAGTTCCATGTGTGCCATCTAAGCATATAATGTTACCCCCAAATTTTTTCAAAAGTTCAACCTGTGATGGTGTCATTATTACCAGAACAAAGTCGTCATTTTTTAATTGTGGATAATCCTTATAGTAAACACCTTGAGGCTTATAAAAAAGAACACATTCTCCCTGCTCTTTCATCGAATTTACCCAAGCTTCTATACTTATAGCATCATTTTTGTGCCATGTTGGTGGATGTGCAAGTTGATAAGAATGCTCAATATTGAATAAATCCTTTTTAGTAGTCAAGTGAATTCTTTTTAAATTTAAATCAATCACAGAGTCTCTAATGTCATCCAAAATATTGTTGAATGGTATTTTTTGAGCAATCTTTTTTGCAATCTCTTCTTTCTCATGCTTTGTCAATGTCATGTGTGTTAACTTGGATTTGTGTCCCACATGTATTTTAACAAATTTGGCAATACAACTCCCTAAAAAAATGTAATTAATATTATATACCTCAAAAACAAAAAAAAATATTTACCATTTGTCTTTATCACTAAATTTATAGATGAAGGGCAAAATGCATTAATTTTCTTACTGCCTTGAAGCTTTAAGTGTCTCTTTTTCTCACCACCTGGTTTATATATCCCAGATCGACTACATATATATTTTATAATAACATGATTCTTGGTGGACTTTGTTTTCCTTTTGCGAAACTGAGTGTTACATTATTCCTCAACTTTGTTTCTCCATTCTTGAAATTCTGCTACTGATGCAAAAGTGAATTCTTCTGTCTCTATTTTTATATCATGACAATTATCAAGGTGATTTAACATATCACTGGTAAACCTTGATTTATATGTTTTACACATAGCACAAATGTTCTTTTCTGTACTTTTCAATGGAGATGTTATATTATTATCAACACTCAAAGTCTCGTTATGTGTGTGCTTTAAATGTGACCTCAAATGGTGTTGATAATTAAAATGTTTGCTGCAACAAACACATTGAAAAGAATATTTTACACCTGCATATATTTTATTAAACTCTGTTGGATGAAGGCTTCTAACATGTGCCTTGAGTGTGTATTGTGTTGCAAACCCTTTCTTGCACACGTTACATATTACATATAATGTCAGTGATCTTCTGTTTATAAATATTGTCACAGTCCTTTGGATGTATCTTTTTAATGTGTACTTTAACACATCTTTACGTGAAAAGCTCTTATTTTATTACACAAAGAACAAGTAATGGCCATAACTGGTATGAGTATTTCACTTTTTTTCACAAAAGGAATTGTTAAGATTCTGATAATATAATCAAGAAATCAGCTATAATTTGAGACAATATAAACACATATAAATGTGGTTATGTTTATGTTTACAACTCTCTTACATATCACTGGTTTACATTGGGCGCGTTCAGCAGACGGAGCAGCTACCGCTCGCGAGATTACGGATCCTAGTGCAACTGTGAATATACTTACAGTGTTACCAGTGGCTGGGCATGGAAGGATGCACCTCCCTGTCAAAAATTATGCGATTTTGTACAAAATTATGCGCTCTGTTGTAAAACGTAGAAGTAATCACCAAACGATAAAACAAACCTTGTCCTTACTGTCATCTGTCACTGTCATGTCCTGTCAGTTGTCATTGTAATAGTTATTGAAAGGTTGAAATGAAAGTGTGTCAAAGTGTCAAACTCGAAACGTTCAAAACAAAACACAATGCTAAAGAAAAAAGTAGGATTGAATATTGAATGGAGGTTTTTAGTTTTTATTTGTTTAGTGTTGAGGTTAACAGAAAGATAAAGATAAGAAAAAGAAAGTGTGTGGTACTGGTACACGATTATAACTTAAAAACTATGAACAATATAGCTTATAGCAATATAGCGCACCTGGACTGGAAATGTACCTTTAGAATTGAAAAATAGGATCAAAATTTGAAATTTTCAAAAATATACATCTTTTGTAATAATCTAACTTTAATCATCAGTTATAAATAGTACTTACATGTAAACAACAGATTACATATTTTAAACTCCTAATGTAAATTATTCTATTTAACAAAAAATCTTAAATAAAAACGTATACTTAAAGTAAAAACATACTATATTAAAATACAAGCTACTGATTGTCTTTCCATATATTATGGCCTAGCATTTTTTTGGATGGTATGAATTTTAAGCAACCGCCATTGTTTTCAACTCCTGCTTTGGTTGCCAAAATAGCTTTTGCAGTTGAAGTGTTTAATAAATTCCGTTTGTCACTTTTTATGTTAAACAAATCACTAAATATACGTTCTACACTGGCATTAGAGAATGGTAAAACAAAAAGTAGCTGTAGCGTCTTTTTTAAATTCGGAAATAAAAAAGCATTAGCATCATTTTTTAAATTAAATATTTGAGACCAATATTGCTCACAGTCATCTGAATTTAAATTTAATTTTTCAAAGTCTAATAGAGCATGTCTTCTCCATTCATTGTCTAACTCCTGAATATTAACATATTCTTTTAAAATAGGAAATTGATTAGTTACACATTGTAATGATTTTATTTCAAAACTTTGTGCAATTTTGGGATCCAATATTGAAATTATTTTATAGATAGGGTCTTTAAAGGTGAATCGATTTTTAATATTACTAACTAATTCTATATAGAATTCTAAAATACATTTAAAAAAACTATCAAATTCTTGTTTGTTTATATTTGGATTTTTTTTTTAATTCTTGCAAGCTTTCTGTTGCAGCAATTCCTATATAAATATCATGTAGACTAACAAAATTTGTAGGGTTTTCATGGTTAAGGATAAATATGTCATTGGTTCTTTTTATTACAGACATCTTTATAAAATTGGAACAAAGCGTTCTCAACAGAGTTTCAGTTTGTGGCTTAACCTTACAAAGAAGTGGTTTTTCTGACTGAAAGAGTAAATTGAAGTCTGTCATTAGTCCTAAAGAATATGACATAAACTCTAGATATACTGGTGTGAACAAATTTGACATGGTTTCCAACATTGTCTCTGTTGTAATTGATGGGTCTTCAAATACATATTCTGTCAAATATGCTCTAAGTGGCTCATATTGCTCAAGCACTCTATCGACACATTCTTTAATAGATAACCATCTTGTTATGGCTGGAGAGAGTATCTTGTGAATTTTCACTTGAAAAAAATTTTGAAACTCTATAAATTTGTGTCTCCTCAAAGCACTCCTATTAAAGTGACTGCCTATGTTTCGGAGCAGATCTTCCACATGCCTAGGTAATTTTAAACAGGCTTTTGATGTAGCTAAATGTGCCATATGACATGAGCATCTAATACATATTATATGTGGAAATTCTTCCTTTAACTTGGAAAATACAGAATTAAACTCTCCAACCATAACATTGGTGGTATCTGATGAAAACCCTACAAAATTTGTTAGTGGAATATTCTTTGAAGTTAAACAGTTCTTTAGAATACCATATAAATCATTAGCTGTTGATCCCTGAGCTTCAACAAGATCAAAAAATTGTGTTTTGGTTGAATTATTTTCATAAATTATAGTAGTGAATGCACATTGCTTTTTTATTGAAATATCAGTAGTTTCATCCATAACTAAAGAAAAAAAACATCCTGGCTCCCTTAATTTAATATATAGTTCTTCAAGAAAATTATTCCCCAAGTTATTGCAAATAATTGACGTCGCTTTGGTTCGTTTTAAATGTAATTGTTTAGCAATTTTCGAGTCAGGAAATATATTTTGAATTAAAGGAGTTAGGGTGTCTACTAATAAAAATGGCAGGTTATTGCTTGCCAACAAGGCGCATAACTTTAACTCTGCCGTTTTTACAGCTAAATCATCAGCATTTGGTTTATACAGTTCAGTAAGTTTAATATTGCTAGTCACTTTTGTCCAATTTAATTTATGCCTGTCACTTGTTGAATGTTTCAATAATACACTTTTATGAGCTACAATATCACAATCACATACCTTGCAATAGGCGTACTCATTACCCTCAGATGATGGTTGTTTTGTAGATTTTTCTAACCAATTCATGAATTCTGGTACACTTTTCCAAGAGCTGTTAAAAGTCTTCTTTTTTTCATACTTTGAGGCTTTTTCCATTTTTATTTTCTTTTTTGCTGATGTTGTAGGATCATTCTAAAATATAATTATAATTTAGATGATCTAAATCAATAAAATATTATTCAAATACAAATTTATTTTACTACTGTAGTAATACTGAATTTCTGTAATTATATCTTATATTTGTAGTTTTTTTAGTTTAGTTTAATTGTATTATCCATATAATTTTAATAAATAATTAAGTTGTTGAGGTCTGTGTTTTTTTATAATTTTAAAATTACTAATTATTTATATATGTTACCATATTATTAGTATCGCCATTGTCACTCATAATATGAGAATGTGTGGGAGCAGGATAAATAGGGGAGCCCTCGTTTTGATAACTGCAACCTGGCTTTTCTATATCAATTGGTGCTGGGGAATCCTTTTGCTTATTTTTATCTGTTTCCTTATGTTTACTCTAAAAAACGAATTTCTTCATTAAAACACAAAATTTAATTTTAAGAAGCTTGAAAGATCCATACAAAATCTACTGAACTTTACCTCTCATTCACAGCAGGTAGGTATGTGTTACTAATTCTGATTTTTGAAGAAGTATAAAGATATTTTAAACTATATTATATGATATTTAAAAAATCCAACAATAACCATTAATTATTGTATAGGAAATGATTTTTAATGAGAACAAAAAATAATTATTTCAAACTATTAAACATGTCTCCTAGAAGGTACAAATTCAGTTATGATTCATGTTTATGTGATTTCTCTATTATATATAAATAAATAATTTTAACTTCTTTTAACTATTTTTTATATTTACCTTAAAACTGGAAAGCCACTTATCCATTTTCTATATTTTTTTTATTTTCTTCTTTGTACAAACACGACACATTAACACACAAAGTAACAGTTGAAGAAGTAGGCTTGAATTAATTTAATTTTTTTCAACTTTTGCCTTATATATGTAATTCTATGTGAAATCCCCGTAAATACAAATGTGAAGTACTTACCTACTCAAATATATGTAAAATCTTTCCTTCAATGTGTATTAATTGGGTATTGCCAGATAAGGGGATTTTCTGGTGAGAAATATTTGCTTGGGGAATAACAGAGCACTTTATAGTTAGATCCTTACTATAAAGAATGAAAAATGATTGTATTGTAAAAATGCTTTTTATATTATACAAATGGCCTTTTCAGTACCTTTCAATAATTGTACAATCCAAATAATGGTGATATTTTTTAAAACAAATTAATTTTTTGTTTTTAGATATTTAATATATGTACTGGCTGATATCACCCACCCACTTGTGTTACTAAAGGAAATTTAGATTCATATACTTGTAATGCAGTTATCTTCGGTTTTTTTACAAATTATTACATAGAAATTGTTACATTTTACGATCTGACAAAGGTAGGAGTAGACGTTATTAATTAACAGCCAAATATCTTCCTATAATACTGCTAGAAACACTAGACTTTGGCCTATGGTAGTATTCTATGGCCTTATGAATGTTGCTTGTTACTTCTTTCGAATTATACAAAAAAGAAACAATTCAGAATTTAAGAATTGCAGAAGATTATTTATGAAAGATTTATAAATACAACAAAAAAAATATGAGAAGAGTTTTGAACCCTCATTTAGCTTGATGAGTCTTGAGTTGTACAACAATCAGCACTGCGCCTATCAAATACTTCTATACAGGCCCATTAGAAATGACCACCAATAAAGAAAGCAATTGCAAAAGACGGAAAACGCGATATTTTTGCACATTTTGTCTATTCTGGTTGTGTACCCTAATCTATGGTTGGGTATGGAGCATATTGTAGCATGTTGCTCCTATTGCACAGGGAACAATTTGGGGTAAAATTCAAACTTATATTTTGTGCAGAGATTTTTTCTATTTATTGTTATAACAAAATTGTGTAGGTTAATATTTGTATTTTAATAAAACATCTGTAGAAATTTTGGAAAACATTTGTTTACTAAGTGCCAATAAAAGTTAAATAAAGCAGAAAATGCTAGGTTTTAGCTTAATTTCTGTATTTTTTTTAAATAAAACAACAAAAATACAATAACATAAGGTCATTAAGTTAACCCGTCCACTCCCGGGTTAACCCTAAACCACCCTTAATGGAGGTGACTCAGGTCACAGGTCCTCAGGTGACCGAAAATCAATTTTTATATATTGTAAATTTGTTTTCTAATGCCGCCATAGAATGGAAATTTTCTTCGATACAGTAATGTCAGTAATTGACAGTAATTTTTATTTGCTAAAGATAATGCTGTGTCACAGAATAAATAACAATTGTTTATTATTCTGTGGCTGTGTAAAATGTCAGCACAAACGTTTTGTTAAAAAAAAGAAGACGAGGACTCTTATTATAAACTGTGGCTTGTTATTGTTTTTTTTATTTGCTGGATTGTGCGAAATTATGTGATTTTATGCAGGATGCGAAAATTATGCGCCGTAAACTAAATTATGCGCAAATCGCATAATTATGCGCCGATTGGCAACACTGTATACTTATTTTGATGAGTTGTAATTGGTTGAGAAAGTAGCGGGATATTTAAAAAATTATTATAAGTTCTTGTAAACGCATTAACGACTACTTACAAAGATGTTTTTTGTTCTTTTTGAGTAGTTTAGACACTAATGTAATATGTTATCATTTTATAAACATTAATAATAATTTTTGTAAGTGGACATTGAAAAATAGAAATAAAAAATTTACTTTTAAATAACATTACGTTAATAATAAATGCATACCATTTAATGAAAAACAAAATTTTGAGCTTTAAATAAGAATCCTACAAAATATTGTATAATATGTTCAAAAAAATAGGTTATCTCCATCTATTACACTTTTTATTGTATTATTAATAGGAAAACTGTATACCTAAATCTGGAAAAAACAAATCGCGTTGAAATCTTCTAAACAAATCTGTCGAGGTTATAATCAATTCTTATATTTAATTAATAGTTACTTTAATGTATTGCCACAGCACTTATGTAACCAGTTCTTATTTAACATATATTTTTAAAAATCTCTTAGCGAAATAGCTCTTATGAGTTCCTATTAAATATAACATCTCAGATAGTAGAATCTTTTGAGTAAGTACACTATTGTACTATTATTTTTAGTATATATAGTAAATAAGTGTATTAATATTGTTCGGAGAAGCTATTTGTTTGTGGCATTTATATAATTTATTATTTTAATGGGAAATAATGCCACAATTTAACTACAAAAATAAATTTATTGACGTATTATTAATTAATATTGTCATTTTGAAAACGACATCCGATGTGGATGTTGAAACGCCAATAAATTCATTTTTTCGTTAAATTGTGGCTTTATTTCCCATTAAAATAATAAAATAAGTGTATTCCTCTTATTCTCTGGAAAATATAAGGGTTGATAGTTTTATTTTAAATATAAACAATAAAACATATCAATTAATATCTATTTATTTATTTATCAACATATAATATATAAACAATTTAATGATTTTTACCTAAACTTATATTGTGATCTACACATAATGTTAACAAATGTGGGACAGCTTTCTTCTGAGGGACTGGAATGTCACTAGCAGTTACAACGCCTTTTTCTGTTGTATGTATGGTCATTTTGGTTTTTGGGTCATCATATTCAATAACTCTTGTAAGGACTTGGGGAACTAATCTTAATAACTAAAATAAAATAGATCAGTTTAATAAGATCAAAATTAGTTTTAATAAAACACATTCATACCTCAGCCTTGTATGCTTCTGGCACATTAATTTCAAACTTAATAAGATCTACCGTTTTGCAATTGCTAAATTTTAAAACACAAGTTATTTAGCAGATCTAAGAAGAGATTATGGGATTTTTTTATTTTGAATAATAAGAAATCAAAAACAAATATTTATATTTATTAACTGTCACTGTCAACCGCAACCCTTAACGCGCCGACCATCGAGCAATAAGACAAAAGAGGGAATGTAAAGGTAGTGGGGGTAAACATATTGATAGACAGGAAGTGCCATCTTGAGAGGCCACTTTAGACAAGGATAGACAGTCTCTTTCCTTGTTTAAGAAGTCAAATTTAGTTAGGTTATGTTATTGTTTGTCCCAACTGTCACATGAAATTTTATTTATATTGAAATCTTTTACCAATTGTGTCACTTTTTAGACTATTATAGTTAATATTTAATTAAAACTTTCTCGTCTGAAAAATATTTTATAGCTATTGTTAATAAGTGTTGGAAAATTTAAATTTAGCGCCTTTGCATTTCCGGATATGTCCGCCATCAGAGGCCACTTTTTTGGTCTCCTTTTCATAACGATTAGATTCCCTCTTTTATCTTTTTGCTCGATGGCGCCGACGCAAACTTTTAGATTTTAGCCAATCACTAACCATCAAAATAAGTCCATTCACAGTTGCACTAGGATCCGTAATCTCGCCTACCGCTCCGCTACTTCCGAATCCATCGTAAAGCGCTGGATCCTGGACCAAATGTCATAAGTCAAAACCTGCTGGATTCCGCTACCGCTACCTTATCTGTCAATGTCAAATAATTTGTCATTTTAAAATTAAATATTTTGTTTATGTTTTAGATTGTAAATTTAGCTTGACTTTTAAATATTATTAAACTTTACGTCACATTACTAGCGGACAAGGAAAATAATATCCAGCTAATTGGAAATGTTGTGGATCAGTTGGCACAAACTGAAGAATTAGAGCTGAATAATGCTGAGAGAGCTCAAGTGCCTCCTAATCAAAATTTTTATGAGGAAACCATTCCCCAATATATGGGAGATCTTTTTGTAAAGCATTTTCGCATGAGTAGGGAATGTGCTGAAGTAGGTTTTAGTAAAGATTATTAGTTCTTTGAAAACTACATATAATGTTTTAGGTAATTACCCAGCAACTAGGAAATTTAGGAGTTTATACCCATTGGAGCTACAATTCCTTTAGATAAAAAAGTGCCAATACACACCCTTTTAAAATAAACCCCTCAACTTAATTCCTCATAGTCTTACATGTACAAAATATCAACTAAACCGCCCCACTATTATAAAAACCTTCACTTTAGACATCCACAACAAAAAACATCCACCAAACACACCAATTCTCACACCCACAATACTCCCACAACTACAAATCACCACATCCAACATACCCAATCATAATCCCTCAAATCCAATTTCACAAACCCTCCCTCCCCCTAATAATCAAATAAACTCCTCCAACCCCTAACCTAAATCCTAATACAACTTCACTATTATTACCAAATACAAAACACAATCCCACCTAAAAAAAATAAACTACCCCAATTCACATCAAACAAATAACTATAAAATAAACCCTATCAATCAAATTACCCCAAATAAAATCAATAAAAAATATACATTACTCATTAAAACTACAACACAATACTAACCAATTACCAAAAAAACAACAAATAGAAAACAAAATAACACAATAATATATACAATTATAACACTTATCACCAATTCATACAACAATTACACCATATAAAAAAAAAAAAAAAGAGTAGTAAAATATCAAAACCTAATTTAATCCCTTTACAATAACATAACACATTAAGCAACAGACATAAAAAAACACCCACCAAAATAAAAACAAAATTGTAAAATATTTTATTTATTATTACTCAATACATCTACCAACCAAACCCTCCCCTATACACATAATACATGATTAATATGTCTCACTGCCAAGATAATCAATCAAATACATATACTAAACCCTCCACAAAAATACCCCTTATCTCTCCAAATATAGTTGAGTGGATGCGAGTGAGTGGAGTTAGAGACTGCGAGACGAAGTGATGTACTGGGAGAAGAACTCGCTACAATCGATGAGTAGTTGTATCTGCGATGTGAGTAGGAGTGGAAATCATGGTGTCAACTCTCTCA